ATCAACAGTGACCTCTGTCCCCACACCAGCCACAAAGAAAAGCGTGTCCACGGGATGCTTCTTGGAGATGATGTCCATGACCTTGATTTGGGAGGGTGCGTCTGTCTTGACACTGATCCATGGGATCTTCACCTCTGCATACCTACGCTCATACTCAGTGATCTGGGCCTTCACGGGGGCAAAGATGTCATTCTGGGTGACCTGCTGGGCCTCAAAGGGGTCATAGATGAAAAGAAAGGTGAGCACCGCATTCTCACTGCTCTCAAAGGCGGCTGCCGCATAAATCTCCAGAAACCGGGCAGCGTGGTCCCGGTCATGGGCTGTCAGTGGCAGGATGATGTTGATGCGGCTGGCCTCTGTCACATAGGGCATGGGTATGATCTCCACCTCGCTGAGGGGCCGCACCAGGTGCACACGCTTGGTGATGGAACGGCTGTGCCCCTTCTGGGTGACCACCTCCACTTGGAGGTCCAGCGTGTACTCCATGCCACGTGTGGGGTCGAAGCGCCGGTACCCGTTCACCAGCTGCTGCTTGCGGGAATGGAGCACCTGCTGGGGTTTTCCGAGCTCCTCCATGGCTGTGGCCACCACGTCAGCCACGTCTGCCAGGTCTGCACCACGCAGCTCACACTTGGGGGAGCCATCCATACATGCGTAGACCTGCTCCTCTGTGAAGTAGTCCCAGCGCAGCACCTCAAAACGGGTTTTGGGCTGGAAGGGGGGTGGGATGCCAACAGGCCACGTGGCGCCATGGTCCCCGTCCGCGGACAGGCTGCTGGCGTTCTGGATCTCCAGCTGCAAGAGGAAAGACGGAGGAGTGAGAGCCAAGGCAGGCGCAGGTAGGCCTTCCAGCTCTGGCTGCAGGCAAACTGACTCCTGATACTCAGAGATCAGCCACTCCAGCCCAAAGAGCAGTGCCAGAACAACTCTACCTTCAGCCTGACTCCAGGCAGTACCTCAGGTTTCCTCCTAAGAGCACCCCGAATGCAGCGTGCCACCTGCATCAGCAGGATCCACACTCTCTCCCACCCTGCCCGGCTTTTGCTGGCAGACCTCAGCACTCTGCTGGCTCCATTGCCCTGAACCAGCACCACAGCTCCAGGACCTACCTGGGTCCAGAGCTGCTCACACCCTGAGGGCTGCTCTCCAGCCAGCACGGCTGCCCCTGCAGCCACATGAGCTCAGCTGATCCCATCTAATAGAAGCTCCAGGTGAGAAACCCTCATGTTAGAGCAGAGAGGTGACACAGAGTGACCAGAAAGCCCACGGGGATAACAGGAAGAGCCCAGACCCTCCCAGCCAAGCCAAGTCTCACCTGGAGCTGCTGGATCTCCTGGTACGTCCTCTCCAGCTCCACCTGCGCAAAGTACTTGTGCAGCCGGTACATCTGGAGGGGATCCAGCACCGGGTGGACAGTGAAGGCACTCTGGAAACGGAGGTCGGTCTCCCGCTCAGGGTCCGCGTTCTTCCCCAGCTCAAAATAGTGGTAACGCAGGCCCTGCACCAGCCAGAAGAGACGGGTCATGGCCGGCCCTGACCCATACTCCCACCCCACCAGCTGCCAGCACAGCAAGCTCAAAGGATGACAGGGTGCAAGGGCTGGTCCCCCCCCAGGGCCTGGGAGCCCACGGTGGGGTGGGCAAACACACCAGGCCAGGACTGGGCTCTTGGAGGCCATCTCCTTTGCAGGACCTACCTCGTGCTCCTCTGCACAGTTGACAGCTGTGTAATCGATGATGCAGCGGCCCAGCCATTCATCAGGCCGGGCGCTGAGGATGTCATTGCGGCAGCTCTCCAGGTGCTGCTGCAGGAGCAGGAGGAGGCTGCGAGACAGCAGGTAGCCAAACCCTCCATAGCAGTAGCGTCCCTCAGTGTCCCCACCGATGAACTCCTCGGGACGGCCCAGGTAGAGGTGGGTGTCGATGCTGAGGTGGGCGACCAGGCGGCTGATGCGGTGTGCCTCTGTGTAAGTATCATCCTGTACCAGGAAGAACCAGTCGAAGTCATTCACGTAGTGATCCAGAAGGTATCTGATGGTCTGGTACATGTTCCAGATGGGCCGCTCGTCACTGTGTGTCACCACTGTCATGCCGTGGGGCACCTTGCGGCCCCGTGTGCCTGTGAAGTACACCAGGCGCTCCAGGCGGTGGGCCAGCGTGCGGTTGACAGCCACCCCCAGCGTGTTCAATGTGCTCTTGGAGGTCAGCACACCCACAAAGAGCCGTTGACGCATCCCCAGCTCCGTGCTGATGTACCGAGTCCTGTAGGAGGGACAGAACGTCTGACCCCGGTGCGCTGCACCCCACCTCGGCCTGCACCCTCCCCGTCCCCCCCAATGGCACCGACCTCGGTTGCTCTACAGGAGCCGCTCTCAGGCTTCAACCACACATGCAAGACATCACCCCAGCTGC